CATCGCTGTAATCTTCTGGTGTGGCAGGGGTTATTAATTTTGAGGGACCTGTCATATATACTTACTATCAAGAACATCCGACTATGCCCACCTTTTCTGCCCAATTCCTCCATTTGTTTCATCAGGTTTCATTCATTTATAGAAGCTATAGTATGGCTTCTGTGAATGGAGAAGCTGAGTGTAAAGGGCGGGCAAAGATGGGCACTGTTGAGGAGTGCCTCTCACAGCTCCATTAATTCTATTATTCTCCGCCACACCAAAATTATGGAATAGCCTTTGCAGAAAGTAGAGCTGTGTGAGGGACTCAGCTACACACAGGTTGACTACAGAAAACCAACTGTAAGGTTTGCATATAAGACCAGCCACCTGTACAAGCAGAGACAGCAGCAACAATTGGTGTTTATTGCAAGAAGGTTCTGTAATGGCAAATTAATTATGTTGATTACTGCACAGATCTGAAGGAATTGCACAAAACACACCAAGATTCAAGTAAGAATACACATCTCTTGTATTTGGAAAATATTTGCATATCACAGACTTCAGCTTAAAAGGAAAAGAGCTTGTTATGTCATGGTGGTTTGTTGGTTTACTTGGAAGGAATTGAAGATGAACGTTGGCTGCAGTACCTGTGGCACAGTGTTGGTACTGTCCAGCTTGCTTTGTGGGTAGATTAGTAGTACCTGAAATAATAAAAATTCATTTTGTTTTGGCTTCTAATGCTTCATCTGCCCTGGCATGGGCAGGCCCCTATGAAGACATGTTTATAGACCAGCGGCGGGCAATTGTTAGCCGAGCAGCCTCTGATCTGTACATCCGATGTCAGAGGTGCTCGCCTTCTGGCAGAATGAATGAAGTGCTGGATGCAGGAGGGCTTTTATGCAGGGTAGCCTATGCAGTGCAAACTGTTACCATGTATTTAGGTAAATATTACAGTAGGCTTCTTTAATATGCCGTCCTGTTAAACATACATTTAAGGTCATCATTGGGGGCAATTGTTCCATTGAAAGCTGGCAATGGTGGAATTCCACCTTATAACAGTTTATCACTCTCCATCATGGTGCTGACACAGGTGGGAAGAGAAAACTCCCCTTTGGTGGTTGATCACCTCCCCACTCTACTAAAATAAACGTTTTGCACTGCATACGCACAGTTTCTTTTATGGGATTGCTTTAAGCTAGGATGTACATGGCCAGTAGTTGAAGTAAGAGTAGGACGATTCCTGCATTCATTTTTTTTCACATACGGTTTCAATATGTGTAGCCAGTAGAATTTGGGAAAGTGGGCAGACACAGCAGAAGCCTAGAAAGCAAATTAAATTTTACTTTGAGATCATGATGAATGTGTATCTGTATTTCAGTCATCACTTAGCAGGCTGTCCTGCAATAATTCCCCGCATTGATAGGATTAAGGGCATGAAAGGATGGCACTGCTGTTTAGCAGCCTTAAAGTGTACTGGATGCTTTTCATTTTCCATGTTACTAATAAATTATGCAGTGTTTTGCCCTATATCTTAGTTTTGCCGGCTTTAAGAACATTCAGAATGCCCCGATCTGTATTTCAGGAGATATTGGCAAACTTTGCCGGTGCATGTATAACAAGCCTTTCAACAGATGCATTAAATAAGCCAGCCGACCCTAATACAACAGCCTCGCAGAGCCTTTAGGTCATCATTAGCGCTTCTTACCATAGGATGCTGCTTTTTATAGCTCTCAGCTCATGCTTGTGGCAGTCATGTTTGAGCAGCCTACAGAGAACCAGAAGTTCCTGAGTGCCCTGCCCTACCAATTTGTAGTTCATAATCTCCTGGAGATTGTCTGCTGCCCATGCTCCTGGTACATGGCTGACCAGCATACAATAAGTTGACTTTCCACAGTTGACAGAAGTTTGCAGCTTTTTTTCCCCTTCAAATAAAGATGCACTGTCTGACATAAAGAGGTTCTTCACACAAGGCTTAATATTATGGCCCTATACACAGACACAAATGCATGTTGAAATGAAACTGTCATGCCCTAAAAACTGATTCAGCTAACATTACTGCTAAAGTTGTTATTATTATTATTATACAGTATTTATAAAGCGCCAATAGTTCGCTCAGCGCTGTACATTGCAAAGGGGGACAGAACATGTGACAGAACAGTACCAATACAATGCAAAACATGAGGGGATTGAGGGCCTTGCTCTTTCGAGCTTACAATCTAGGAGAGTGTTATCATATTGTTTTACCTGCAAATACCTATGGTCATTTTCAAATCAATTTCTCAGGAGCCCCTGAATTCCAGGCCCAGGATGCCCATAGAGCTCAGACTTCTGCTTTAATTGATGTTAAAGGATAAGTTCATCATTTAGACAAAAAAAAAAATGCACATTTTTTTTGCAGGTAAAAAAATATCAATGTATTATTTTTGTCTACAGGAGCCTGGAAAGTATTGCACTAGAGATCAGTAGATCGCTGATGCCATGCAGGTCTCCTGCGGACCTGTCAGAATATTTGCTTGCCGTGCAGGATGTACGAACAAGCAGATATTCTGACAGGAAGCTTCAATGAACTACCACAGTGCTCTGGTAGTTCATTGAAAACTACATGCCGACAGCCACTAAGGCTGCCGGGACTTGCAGTAAATTCATTCACAGACGTCCGTGAATGAATGATTCGGCCATGTGTGTGGAGCCCCGCAAAGTTGCGCTGTTTTCAAATTTGACATATAGTATGGGGAAACTTCTCCCCATACTATCTGTCAGAGGGAGGGGGGCGGCAGGTGGCGGCTGTGGCTATGGGAACATGTTACATATTCCACCCTAAAAATGGGTGGAACATGGAACATTTTCCCAAAGGTGAACTTATCCTTTAATTCACCTCCACCATGCAACAGTTGAAGCTTATTGCCCAGATGGGGGAAGCTGAGGCTCTACAGTTATCAATATCAAGCTTCTCTTTGAACTTTATGGCAAGGGGTAGTGAGATCTCAGTGGATATAGCCCGGCTCAGTCACATCTCTAAACTGTCCCAATTCTTCCTTGAGTGAACAGGACATAATTAAACCAAGTATGGTAGAATTTCTGTGTAATGTGGGTAGGATTTACAATTACCCTGATTTAACATTGTCTTTGGGAAAAAGATTCTTTGGTTTTTATCTTGTCACTATATTTCCAGATCACCTTCCAAGTAAAGAAATCCAATTCTATTTTTTCCAGCCTCACTGGGGCTCATTAATGACCTGCAGTAGATGAAAAGACACTTAAATGATCAGTATTGGCCATAATATAGTTAAAAATGAGACAGAGGAGAGACAGGCACGCTAAAGAAGACAGCGAACAGAGAATCTACGTCGCCATTAATCTAAACAGCGTTTAGCCTCCTGGATTTAATTAAATCAATAGATGTCTGTGACAAGTTGCGGTCTGCCGCGTTCTTTGGACATAGTGTACCAGAATCTCTTCCTCACGCTGGGCTTCTTTTTAACTTTCCCTGTAAACAACAGTCCCTGCTCCTGAACGTGTGCCATCACAACGACTAATGAAGGCAGACACACAAGGTGTCAGAGAGCATTTCATTAGGAGGTGGGTGGAAGAGCTGTTTTCTCAGATATTGTTTCACAATCTCCCCCCTTCCTCTGGCATCCGTGGGGCTTTATGATGCTAAAGCTTTAAAGGAACATGGCAGTTGTACTGGAAACCTACATCTTGAATACATGCAGGGAAGAATATCTACCATTCTGTATCGTCTGTGTTTTTTCCAGGAATAACATTAGAGGACCAAGCCTTTTTGCTTCCAAAAATCATTCTATTGCTAATCTTTAAAGTGATCAGTTTAAATGTGCCTAGAGCATTCCTGATCCCATCAGCTTTCATTTCCTTTTTTCTATCAGGTCAAAGAAGATACACCATAAAGTTGATGTTGACTCTCTGTATCCTCTGTTTTCCTACTGGCTTCCCTCAGCCTCAGCCCCTCCTTTCCCCCTGAATGCTAAATGGCCGGCAATGGAAGATAACATTACAGCTGCCAGAGGTTCTAACTCTTTCCTGCCTCTAAGCAAAATGAATCTTAATTTTAAAAAAAAAAGGAGGTGCGCTTTAAGCCAGACATAGATGGTTCGAATCTTGGCCAGTTCAACAGGGACTGGCGGAGATTCGAGCCATCTATGGGCAGGCAGCATGTCAGATATTTACATGCGATTATTGCCATTGGCTATAGTTGCTAGCAATAATCTGTGTTCTCCGGGCCAGGATGGCTCACCGCGCCCCACTGCTGGGAGAACTCAATAGCTTCACTGAGTGTGTTGATGGGGAAAAGGAGCGATTTTCTTTCCTGCAACCTATGGTTGCAGGAAAGAAAATCAAATCATGTATGGACTGTCTTTTCTTAAGATGGATTGGTTTTCCAGGTTACCTTTAGATCCTTACACTGCCATATGTTGTACATACGTAAATTTGTATGGTGTGATACACTATATTGCCAAAAGTATTGGGACGCCTGCATTTATCCGCACATGAACTTTAGTGACATCCCAGTCTTAGTCAATAGGATTCAATATTGAGTTGACCCACCCTTTGCAGCTATAACAGCTTCAACTCTTCTGGGAAGGCTGTCCACAAGGTTTAGGATTGTGTCTATGGGAATGTTTGACCATTCTTCCAGAAGTACATTTGTGAGGCCAGGCACTGATGTCAGAGGAGAAGACCTGGCTCACAGTCTCTGCTTTACTTCATGCCAAAAGTTTGAGGTTGGGTTGAGGTCAGGACTCTGTGCAGGCCAGTCAAGTTTCTCCACCCCAAACTCGCTCATCCATGTCTTTATGGACCTTGCTTTGTGCACTGGTGCACAGTCATGTTAGAACAGGAAGGGGGCCATCCCCAAACTGTTCCCACAAAGGCGGGAGCATGAAATTGTCCATAATGTCTTGGTATGCTGATGCCTTAAGAGTTCCCTTCACTAGAACTAAGGGGCCAAGCCCAACTCCAGCAAAACAACCCCACTCCATAATCCCCCCTCCACCAAACTTTACACTTGGCACAATGCAGTCAGGCAAGTACCGCTCTCCTGGCAACCGCCAAACCCAGACATGTCCATTGGATTGCCAGAAAGAGTAGCATGATTTTTCACTCCAGAGAATACATCTCCACTGCTCAGAGTCCAGTGGCGGCGTGCTTTACACCACTGCTTCCGACGCTTTGCATTGCACTTGGTGATGTAAGGCTTGGATGTAGCTGCTCGAGCATGATAACCCATTCCATGAAGCTCTCTACGCACTATTGTTTTGCCAATCTGAAGTCCAAACGAAGTTTGGAGGTCTTTAGCTATTGACTCTGCAGACAGTTGGTGAATTCTGTGCACTTCTTCATGCGCTGACCCCGCTCTGTCATTTTACATGGCCTACCACTCTGTGACTGTTGTTCCCAGTTGCTTCTTTTTTGTTATAATACCACTAACAGTTGACCGTGGAATATTTAGTAACAAGGAAATTTCACGGATGGACTTATTGCACAGGTGACAACCTATCACGGTACCACGTTTGAATTCACAGAGCTCCTGAGAGCAATCCATTCTTTCACAAATGTTTGTAGAAACAGTCTGCATGCCTAGGTGCTTGATTTTATACACCTGTGGCCATGGAGATGATTAGAACACCTGAATCCAATGATTTGGAGGACTGTCTAAATATTTTTGGCAATAGTGTATGTGAGCAAGCATGCAACTTTCAACCTCGACCCAATCACCTCAAAACATTGGTAGCATTGCAGTCAACCCTGAAGTACCTGAATGTAATATTTAAAAATAAATAAATAAAAGTTCTGCTAAACTCATCATCTCCCCCCATTGTTCTTGTTTTTCTCATTTTCGCCTCTCATGCACAGAGATTAAAGGAAGCATCTACCAGCAGTAGCATAGCCATATTTATCCTATGCCATCATTTTAATTTTCACACCTATTGTGCTGCATTGCAGAATACATTGTCTACACTTTATAAATAAATTACAGCAATGATGCATCTCGCATTTTAAGCGCTTTTTAAAAGTTGTCCACTGAATGAGCTTCATAGCCGCGTCACAGTGTACTGTCTGGAAAGTTAAAGTGTCTATTGCAGTACTTGTGGAAGGCAACCATTTTGTGATTAGATCTGAAACTTGGTGTATTAAAAACCAGTGACATCATGTAGAGTGTGTTATTGTAATTATTATGTTTCATGATAAACCTCCACTAGCATGCTGCGATGAATCCTTTCCAGGGTAATATTTTTTGGACAGTGGTGGGTTTGCAAAACCTGTTGTTAGAAATATACCTAACCATAAATATTGACCTACCTGCTGCCAAAATAGGAGCAATATTATTTAATTGGTCCTTCACCAGCCTCCTAATAATATAAAGGAATTGTCATGGGGAATGTATGGGTGCCTCCTTCTGGCTGTAACAACTTTTAAGCCGCTGACCTAGAGCAATTATTCTAATAAGTCCTTGATTTGATTTTACTTGCAGCATACCTGTTTAAAGGTATTCCACTTCACTCACCTAGATTGATACTAATAGGTTTCAGTCTGGGTGGTTCCTGATCTACTAAATTATGTAGTCATGATTATTTTAAAGAAGAAGTACCTACTGTCATTAACAAATGAGGAGAAACTTTAAGGTCTCCCCCTTATTATTGGGCATCCCCCCCCCCATAAAGCCAGAAAGTCCCAACAGCCCCCCCCCCCCCCCGAATAACTAATGATCTGTAGAGGCACCATACATCCAGGTACATAGTACATAAAAAAAAGGACTGCAACTTCAAGCATCCGCATTGGCATCTTACCTTACAGAAGGCTGCAGGCTAGAGAAGCCAGGGGACACACTACCTGTGGTGACATGCCAGGAGCGGGAGGACCTCCGGTGAGAGGACGCACAGTGGAGTGGAATAGGACCAGACCTTACTGTAAAGCAGGCCAGGGGAGGGGGGCGCAATGCCCAGCAGTGACATGCCTGCTAGGGGGAGGAGCTCCGAGGACAGGCCGCACCTGCAAACCGGAGTGGGGTCGGACCGGACTTCACTGTAGAGCAGGCTGAGGGTTCGGAGAGGGGAGTGCACTGCCTGGCAGTGACTTCCTGGGAGGATGAGCAGCTCCAGGGACAGGCCGCACGCTGCAGTGGGATGGGACTGCCTGTGGCAAGAGGGGGCTCCTCTTTAAGAGCTGACTGCTGGCTCTAAACCCTAACACGGCAATGGGGGGAGGGGGGGGATCTTGGCCAATATTCGCTCCATAAGATGCACAGACATTTCCCCCCATTTTTTTTTCGGGGGGGGGGGGGGGGGGGGGGTGCATCTTATGGAGCGAAAAATACGGTAGATCTCCTCTCTTCTCCAAAGCCTTCCAGTTGGTCATTGAAGGGCATTCAATATATTTATATACAAACTGCCCAATGTGGTGGTTACTAGTGTGGGCAGCTTAAAATAAATTTCTCTCTTATTTTATTATTTTACACTTACTAAATGACAGATTGTGTCTCTGCTTGGCTTCTGTTCACACACTCCAAACAATAGCTATCAACATGTAGATGAATCACATCCAGCAGCTTATTTCAGACAAACGCAGGGGCTGAACATGTTAATAATCTACAGTCCATTTGCCTAATAAGAACAAAATGGAGAGTCCAGTAAAGTTATATACTCGAAGTGGAGTGAGGATGTGGAGAGCTGATTGTGATAAATATTATGGACCATAATGACACCATAGGAGGGCATGGACATCAGAGGATTGGCAGTCATACTGATATGATTTGACTATTGGAGTTATTTTGCTACTAGAGTATATGTTCATGCTATGGAGCAGGAAGGAGGACATATGGACAGAATCCTCCAACATCTGGTTTATCTGGGGAGTAACAATAGTTTTCACACTTGTCTGATTGACCCTTTGTACCTAAGGGCCAATTAACATTATGTGCAGCTACCTGTGTTTTTCTGCATGGAAAAATGCAGGTAACTACAATGAGACATAGAAAACAGTAGTTTTTCATGCGCCATGTTCACACCAGAACGCTGTTTCTCTTTGTTCCATATCTGTTCAACTTTATGTAATGTGTTTGCCTAATATTGCATGAATGAATAAGAACGTGCATACATGAACGGAAGTGCTGTTGACTGCAGACGTGTTTTTTATGTGTGTTGAAGTGTGAATGAGCCCTAAATTGTTCAGTCTATGGCATATTGTCCTGTGCATAGATTCAAAATGTCACTTGATATGGTAATGGGATGGATGTACAGTACCGCTCATGTCTTTGGCCGGTTTATCAATAGCTATGTGGTGGCCAAAAGTACAGATAGATATTTTTAACTCAATTGCACAGTTATTTCCAAGGATGAGTATTTTCTCAGAAAGATGAAATGAATATCTCATCATGTAAGCTACACACATCAGGGGTGTGGAAATTTTTGAAAAAAACTACTTGTCCAGGGACTAAATCGGGGCCCCAATCTACTTGTCCCTCATGAAAATCTACTTGTCCAGTTGAAAAAAAAAATTTTTTTTAATCAAAACCATATTTAAATCTGTGGTGACTTTAGGAATGTTTGGGGCTTTTAAAAACAAAAGGGGCTTTATGGCGATTTAAACGTGTAATAATTTTAACATTGCACTGTTTATCTCCTCCTCTGCTCCCTTCCTATCTCCAGCACCGCCCCCGGGGACTAGCAGGCAGGGGAGAGACCTTGTAGTGTAATGAGTACCGATTGGGTGCTCATCAGGAAAGGGGAGTGTCCGCTTATCCTTTATCCCTTTTGCTGCCAGTGCTCTTTTTTGCATTTTTTGCACAAATTTAAACAATCATTTTAGGCCTGAAGATTACATAAAACCCCCATTATATATTTTCTGAATGCAAAGACCCAAGAGAATAAAATAGTGGTAGTTCCAATTTTGTATGTTGCATGATATTACCCCAAAATTTCAGTAAACAATACAAGTAAGTTAATTTTAGGGCACAAAAAAAGCAATAAACTACCCTATTTTCTGGTACTATATAAAAGACGAGGTTACACAGGGTAAATAGATATCCAACTTGCGTGCACTTGTGAAATGGCGACAAACTTTATAGTACCCTATATTTTCTATAGGCGACCCTTTTAAAGCCCCTTATAGGTCATCAGTATAGTGTACGGAGGAGGTCTGGTGCTAGAATTATTGCTCTCATTCTGGCGTGTACAGTGATATGTAACGTGTATCACAATCAATGTTTACATGCATAGGCGCCCCAGCGTGTGCTATTACGATTGTACGTGCGTATATGTGTGGGTGGGGGGGGCCTCAGTTTTTTTGGGGGTGTGTTACCTGTACCTGTTTATCTTTCTCCATAGGGAACAATTGTTCCATTTGTTAAGTGAATAACCACAAAAAGAGACTAACAAAATTATAGCCCTTTTTTGTTTTATCTTTTGGTAGGTAAGACCGTTCATATGTGTATTTCAGCTAGCTGCATGCCTTGGAGTTCAATTTTAGAATGACTTAAATTGATACACATGAAGCGGTACTCTTTCTCATGTCTCTTTTGAAGAAAATATTACAGTGGTTCTAAAGGCTCAAGGTTTCTTTTTACCTTCATGCATTCTGTTCATGAACTTAAAAAAAACACCTGTATACAGCGCCCCCCCCCCCCCCCCCCCCCCACCCCACCCAAACCTTATCTGAGCCCTCTCCAATCCAGCAACGTTCTCGACAAGCTCTGTTGTCTGGGGACACTTTCTCCTCATTGGTTGAGACAGCACCGGGAGCCTATTGGCCTCCCGCTGCTGTCCATCACAGCCAGTGAGCCACTGAGGCCTTGGGGGGCGCGGAGCGGGGTCGAGCTGCAGCTCTGTGTGTCTTATGGAATGCATAGAGCAGCTGCTTGGGGAAGATTGGTTTTCCCTGGGGGCAGGGACCCCAAAAAAAGGAGACTGGGGCTGCTCTGTGCAAAACCACTGCACAGAGCAGTGGACAAGGAGTCCATTCGAAACACAAAACGTGGACAGCCGCATATATGTGAACCAGGGGTAATTCATGATTAACTTTAAACTGATAACCTGTAAAGGCTTTTAAAGCGTCAGTTTTATATACTGTAGTTTGTCACCATTTCACAGGCCTGCACAATTTTAAATATCGACATGTTTTGACATCTATTTACTGCAACATCTATTATAGATTACCAAAAAATTGGGTAATGTTTTTGAGTTTGTGTGCAAATATCATGTAAAATAAAAACAAAAAATGCGACAGCCACCATTTTATTGTCCCGTGCCTTAGCTTTCAGAAAACATGTAATGTTTAAATGTATAGAATACAATATTTATACTTCTTAATACAAATTTAAGTTTTTTAGTCCAGGATTTCAGCTTTAAAAACCTGTAGTTCCCCCTTGAACCCCTGATATCTTCTGGATTATTGATCCATTTTATAACTTCTTTTTTTATTATCTTCCTCAAGCCTGCTAAAAATCAGCAGTCCGTTGTGTGAGGTAATCACAGTTTGACACAGTTATGTATGACAAAAACACCAGAAAAGCTCAGATCTGCACTGTATGAGCTTAAAGTTCATTGCAGTTTCTCTCCCTTTTCTCACAGTGTTATATTTGCAAGCAAACTCATTGGACCTCTGTACTAAAACCGGCATGATTAATATTAGTTTCATCTTCTATATTTTAAT